GTGAGATTCAATTAAAACTCACCATTCACTCAACAGCTGGCCACAGACCATAAATACTTCCCTGAGAGGTCTTCGCAGTCACCTATAATGAGACATACACAATAGCCATTTGTCTAGGTGGTCTCTATTACCATCATTGATTTAATGACATATATAATTATTATATAGTAATTTAACTATATTATAATACTATATTTGGATTAATAAGATCAGTCATACTGCAGAACTCTACAGATTAAACTTGAAAAGCAGTTTAGAAAACAAATAATTTTATAAAGTTTTACTTTTCTTTCTCTTGACTACACTTGTACCCATATAAATATATGTATAGTAAAAAAAAAAAAGATCAGTTATATATTTATACTTCTCAGCTTTTAAAGGTCCAAACTACAGGTTCAAAGCAATCAGTAACATTTAGGCTACATTTCTCCACTCTATATAAATCTACTTGAATGTTGTTTATGCAGATATTTATATTTGCAAAGGAAATTATGATCATAAGATTAATTTGAAGTGTATATAGCATATGATTATGTGATTGCTTACAATATTATTCATTCAGACTGGGGAAAAGATAAAGTATAAGCAAAACAAAACAAAAAGGAGGAATAAATATGTGCTTACAAGTACCGATAGAAAATAAATGTTGTGTCTAATTTAATGATCACTCATCTGAAGATGCCTCAAATGTTCAATTATATAATTAAATGTTCCGTGTACAGGCAGAAGAGATAAGAAAAGTTTGCAGTAACCCTGTAATTAGAATTGTAAATTTTAAAACAACTTTTTCTTGATGAATCAAGTACACACACCACAGATAATTCAAGGAATTGATTCAGAATGAGTAGTTAACTCACACAATATAGGCTGGGCAATGAAGTAGTAAGACTATCTTAATGAATTCTGTAGGATATCTCCCAGCCATTCTCACCTATACACTCCCTCACTTTCTCAAGTCATATTTTCCACAACTCTAAGGATTAATAGCAGAACTGTAATGCAACACCTGAGATCCATAGTTTAGTCCCATACATACAACCAGTGGTGGGATTCAGCCAGTTCGCACCACTTTGGGAAAACTGGTTGTTAGCTTTCTGAGTAGCTTGGTGAACTGGTTGCTGGAAGAAATCATTAGGGCAGAGAACCGATTGTTAAATTATTTGAATCCCACCACTGCATACAACCAAATTATGAACCTGGTTTACAGATGACACCTTTGTCATTCTAAGAAAGGACCAACTAGAGAACACACACCAAGCCGTCAATTAACATCTTCAAAGGAATAAACTTAACCAGGGAAGAAGAAAATAATAGCATGCTATCCTTCCTGGATATCCTCATCAGCAGAGGCACTGACAGCAAACTAGAAACACAAGTCTATTGTAAAACTGCCCACACCAACCAGATGCTCCACTACCAAAGTATCAACTCAACTTCCCACAAGAGAACCTGTGTAAGAATATTATTTAGATGAGCACAAACACACTGCAATAATCCTGAACATCAGAAAAAGAAAATAGATTATCTATATCATCAGGCTCCAGCTACCAGCCCTGGGTGACATCTTCGCATCTCGCTGTTTGAAGAAGTTGCAAGATTCTTCCCATCCTGCTTACAATCTTTTTGGACTGTTACCTTCTGGCAGAAGATACAGAACAATTAAAACTCGGACCACACGTCTTCTGAATAGTTTTATCCCAGAGCTATAATTGCACTCAATAATGAACTAAAGGGCCACCATCAGTGAGCTGTTGGACAGCATTGCTTGGTCTGCTGTGTGGCTGCTTGGGTGGTTTAGGGGTGGGGAATTTTTGGTGTGTGTGTGTCAGGGGATTGTCGTGTGTTGGGTTTCTGGGCATTACGTGAATTTTGTTGCATGAGTATACTGTGTATATACGTACAATGACAATAAACTTTATATATATATAAAACATCTTCCAACAAAATGGATACATACAGAACTTCTTCAAACTCAAGGCACTATAGCACAACCATTCCAAGCTGGGAAAAGGATAACACTGCCATACATTAAAAATAAAATCTTGGAAACCACTGTTACAACCACATGACACCAGTGTGGCACACAAACCTACTGAAGCCCTCCAAAACGTCCTAAGTAAACCAAAAGATCCAGCAGCCCCAGAGGAAAAAAAGCAAGCGTCATCTAGAACAGACAGTGTAATGACTGCAATAGCCACTGTGTAGGAAAAACAGGAAAAAGATTGCCAGAGCACATCTGTGAATACCAACTAGCAGGCAGTTGGTAAGCATGTAATGGTGGGGATGCTGTGATGGTTGTAACTGCAAGGACTGATCGCAAAGTTATTTTTTCAGTGACATCATACCTTCAAATGGCCACTAAACAAGGCAGACATTACGCAAGAACTACCTATATATACCAGTACCAAGATAGTAGCAGTAATTAGGAGACTTGGCACTAGGAGTTTATGGTTTAGTATGCCTTATCTGGTTGTAATCCTGTACCTATAATTAGTTAGATGTATATGCTCTAAACTAAACAGAGTTGTCCTTAAACTGATTTTATAAATGCATAACTTATCTAATGTTAAAACTCAGTACATGTCAGACACAAGCAATCAGAGCCACTCGTAAATAGCTGAAGTAAGCAACTTTATCATTCTCTATCTAAATTATAAGAATCTGCCCAGACTACTTGTCTTCCCTTGGCAACAACTAGATAAGCTAAGCCTGTACTTGACATACACTTAGCTTAGCTGGCAGTTTCCCAATAGTGCATGTTCCTTATTATTTTATCACCAATGTGGTCTTTCTATGGTTTTAAGAAAACTTTTTTCTTAGCTAACTTTTCAGCATGAGATCAATGGCTTATATTCTCTCTTCATTACTTTGGTCTATTGATATTCAAATTCTGTTATTGGTCAAATCTAGGTGATGCCTTTTCTATTTAGTTATCAATATTGCTTAGATTGTTTTGCTTTCTGCCACAGAATCATATCACTAATACATTAAAGATTCTGATAAATGAGCCCTTTAAAAAATCTAGTTTGTATATGTACACCTTAGAAATGCCAGTTTTGGGGGGTTTAATTTCAAAATCAAATTCTATGAGGAAAGACAAAAGCTGCAATCCTGTATAAGAGATACATAGGTAAGTAGTATGTGCAACTTTGAATATAGCACCCTGTCAAAGCTGTTTCATGAAGCAAGAGAAATTGACTCATTTCTAAGACTGAGGTGAAACTATACTTGTCGCCTCTAGATTTTTTTCAGATATTCTTTTCTACTGCAAGAAAAAGATGTCAACTCACACATCTCCACATTTCTTTCCTCTTGGTCAACTGATTTCCAAAACTGACTGAGGTGGAAGGCTGGTGGAAATTTGGAGATTGCCCAATCCAAGTTCTTCGCAATCTACAGAAGTACCCTGATGGGAGAGGATATAGCATTTAACTGTCATGCATAAGTGCCTCCACTGATTGCTAAGTTAGTCAAATGAGAAACTAACAAAAAAGGACCCAAAGTAATTGGGAAAATGGTCCTAAAGGCTTTGGAAGGGTCTACTGAACTAGAATTTCACACTGATACCAATATAATCAAAACATAGAAAACATGGCAAAAGGTTTGTCCATGTCAGATGTTATATTTATTGCTAAAACTTATTTTCTTCCCATAATTGTTTTTCTTTCCTTTTTTGGAGTGGGCATTCTATGAGTTAGGTACTACTTTCTCCTGAACAATAATTTTGGGAATGAAATATTATTTTAAATAAGCAGGCAAGCATTTCTGCCCCATATATTAACAACCACAGTTTTCAAGGCTTTATGCTTATTAGAAGCAGATATCAGTAAACTTTTAAACATACATTTTTTATTTAAAAACAACAAAACAGCAGTCTAACTCTCCAGCTTCACTTTATCTAAGTATCTAATCAAATATGTTGGAACCACCCGAGGAGCAATTCTATAACTTTTTATCAGGAAATAAGCTGCTAAATAACTGAAATTTGTTTACTCAGAAAAGCAATCAGGATGTTTAGAATTTGAATTGTTTATTCTTTTTTTAAAAAAAATTGCTGGATATTAGAAGGTCTTTTGTCTTATTCAAAGATTTATATTTATAAGCTAAATGGTCTAAATAAATCACTATTACATATCTTTCCACCTGAGTATTTTATATTTGATTCCTTCTTTGCATGAAATAACAATTTTTGCCATTCTCTACTGATTAAATGCTTGAGTTAAGCATTTTCTCAGTTCCCTGGGTTTGGGGTGTTTTTGCCCTAAATGTGGGTGGCCTTTTCCCCCTTCAGTTTTCTGTGAGTTTTCAGCTCCTATGCATTTAACCCAATTCAGGTTTATAGCTTTTGGTTAGATTCAAAAAAATCTATTTGAAATTCTTGTTCTCTGATGTATATTCAGTCAAACAGTTAGCTTCCAATGAATTTGTAGTATATTTATCAAAGGTACATGGTTTTTGGAGTAGATTAAATCATTAAAAATACTCTTATCTTACTGTGGAGGAAGGGAGATAATATTGTTCACTCCAATAACCCGAACAACCTTAGATAGAGTAATGGATGGACACCTACAGAAAGTGACAAGGACAATAAGGGATTGGCCAACTCACAGAGTAGTTTGGGTAATGATTGATTGTCTAGTAAACATCCCATCCTTGGCCATCCAAGGAAGTATATGGAACATTCTGGTATGAATGTCACATTAATCATGAAGATATGACATATGTGAATCAGTTTTAATTTGACTGAGTTAGAATTGTGAGATTTAAAGAAGGTATCATTCAGTCCAAGTTCTGATTTGATTTAAACTGCTTACTTTAAATATATATATAAAAATTATAATGAGTGAACATATAAATGTTTGCAACTGCTTTATTTTCATTTGAATGGATGAAATTAGCAGGTATTGTAGACTTTTTAAAAAGATATTAACTCTACGAAATATCTAAAATCTCTACAGATTTTACAATTATTGATCTTTGAATTATTCTTCCTTTCTTAGGACAGTCATAGTGGGATAAGGACTGGAGCACAGAAGCTTCCAAATTAATCAGCAGAAATCATCCCATGGAAAACCAGTAGTAAAAAACCCAGTAAAGAAATAATGCTAGCCCAAGATGGAAAATATTAAAAACTTTCAAAAGCTTGTTTAAAAAGTGAACTCTTTTCCTTTGTTCTTCTAGGATGCCAAATTTGGCATGATAGAAAGAATGTCCATTGACTTACCCATGTAACATGGCATAGCAGTTGTTTATGATAACTGGGTATAATGACGTGTCAAAGGAAAGTTTGGCTCCTCTTGAAAACTCCCTCATCACTTGTTCTGGTGAAGTGGTAGGCTGATATTTTCAGGAAATGTTGGGTTGCTGGCTAATTTAGAATTTGTAGAACTGATAACAAAGCAGAAAGACATTAAAGGAGACACAAGGACTGAAATAAACTGGATCATGATTATTAACACTGAGCCATTAATTCCTTAAAATATTAAATGTCCTTCCTCAGACCTTGCCAGGCTGTGGTGAGTCCAAGCACCAAGGACAGTCTTGGGAGTTTGACTCACAAAGTGGTTGCTTTCATTGGGCAAGTTTTGTACCCTTCAGCCTTTGTCTCCTCTCCCCCTCCAAAGCTGTTTAGTTGGACATCAGCAAGGGAAGATTGCATATTAATGAGTGTCTAGCAAGTATTGGGTGCAAAACAGCAAAATAATTATCTAATTGGGATTAGAGTAGAAAGTTGTTTTTTATCTCACAGTTCAAAAGAGTAAGAGGAGCTAGATTGTCTATGCAGCCTTTTTTCCAGGTATTAATTGAAAAATACAGGTCAATTCCATGACAGCTAGGTACGTCCAGTCACTTCTTGGCAGAACCCAGTTATATTAAAGTTGTGGCTTGCAATAATGGCAGAAGTAGCAGACTGACACAATGAGACATGTCACCAAGACAGTCAAGCCGCACAGAGACACCATAAAAATCCTTGCTACCCCTTTCTCCATTCTTAAAAACAGTGAATATTAAGCATATTTTTAGCTTACTATTAATTTACTCATTGTTAAAAAACTTAAATCTGTTTCAATACAACAGTATTTAAAAGCAAAGTTTGGCCTAAGAATATGTATTGGTATGGTCTGGCTTGAGTTCATATTCAGATTTCTAAAAGATAGACTGAACTCTTGGTTGCATTGGCAGGTCCAACACAAAAAGGTGTAATATTTCACAGACACAATGTTAAGGCTTGTGCCTACACATTAATGAAATTAAAGGCTGAAAAAGTGAACTTTTCTAAGTGCTCTAAGCTAAGAGCAATCTTGGTCTTGCTATCCCAAAAGTATTTTGATACGCAGAGTTTCATGAGGTCACAAATCTCACAGTTGGCTATTTTTGTTCATGTCTGAGAACATATTTCACCACTCAGCCCCAACTAGTATTTTTGAGAAATATTTATTTCTATAGCAATACATTTACATCATTATATTTTGTCTGCAGTTAGTGAGAAGCTGTGGAAAAGTTATTAAATCTAGTAAATTTTTGCAGCCATTTAATTCAATTTGCTAGCTTACCTTTCAAAAGGGTTTGATACAAACCATAAATGGAATGATTTATTAATCAAGTTCATATCCCCACCCATCTCAGATAGAGACTCAGTTTAGTCAAAGCATAGTTGAATTGAACCTCTCTTTAGAAACTTGGCATAACTACCCATGAACTAATGAAGTACACTAGCCTGATAGTGAGTTGTGCAGCTCTCTGGATTCCCAAAGGGAAAGAGGAGGCATAGAAATATCACCTGTCTCTAAGTCTTTAAGACAGCTGTGTTTTTTCCTGAGTTAAACTGGAGTTTTACAGAAAGAATGTTTTCTACGTTTTTAAAGCAGCTGCATATTTTAAAGGCTGGTGTGGAAGTTTGGAACAGGTTGAGATGCCTTAATGAATGGCAAAGGGTGGTTGTGACCATGTCAGGTCTAGAGTAATCCTTCCCAAACATTTCTGAAATGTGTGGATCTATACTGATTGTATCGTAAACCACATTAGCAAGATTTGGATAATGGTATGATTTGGAAATATTCAATGATGCTTATCGGAAGGTCCATCTCTTTTCTGTTTATGCTTTCCGATCTATTTCTAGCTGAATTTTTAAGACAAGAGAGACAAATACATATTATCTCATCAGGATGGTTACAAAAAAAAAAAAAAAAAAAAAAAGCAAGATTCAACTTCCAAATCAATTGTATTTTTGTACTGTAATGAAGAAATTTAATGCATGAATGTGCTCCAGAAATAATCATCCTAAAGTAATTTTAGTTTTCATTTTTTGTAAATATTTGATGCATGACTCAATTCTAGAAATTGAAGGGGTTTGAGCAGAATTCACAACATTTAATTTAAACATTATTTAGTCTAGCAGTAGCTATACAAACTCTTAAAAGATAAATATGTTTCTATAAAAAAGGAAATTAATAAATAATGGGGAAAAGAGCAGAATCTGATTGCAGCCCTGTCTTTATTAGGAAAGAAGTGCTGAAGGATTAATACAGAGTGAGGAAACAAGTAACTGGGATTTTTCTCCTGCATATCCAGTACCAAAAACAGAAGACTGGGTGGTTTTCAAATGTATTCCCATATAGATCACATTGCAGTAATCCATACAGGAGGTGACCAAGGCATACGTGACGGTGAATAAGGGCCTCAGGTCCAAGAAAGAACACAATTGATGCACCAGAGAAATCTCTGCAAAGGCCCACATTGCCACCGCTGACATCTGCTCCTCGAGCATGAACTGCACTGGCTTCCAGTTTTTTTCTGGATGCAATTCAAGATCTGGTCACCTTTAAGTCCTATATGGCAGACACCCAAGCTCTTGGTGGTTAGTGGAAAACATTACTTTTGTTTGGAAGTATAAACAATATAAAGAAGAAAATCTTGCAGGGGAAGAGAAGTCCACCCCAAACTGATCATGCATTTGCTTTTTGGTCAATGACAGCTTCATGACTCACTGTAGGGTAAAAGGGTATCCATTTTATGAGAGCACCCTTGATATGTTTTCAGTGTTCTGAGTTTGGTGATCAAAAGGTTGCTCCGCTGCTGTGTCAGAAAGACAAAAATTCTAGCAAGAGCAAGAGAAGGTGATATTGGTTCAAATTCCATGTTGCGGTTTTTCAAAGAGTTAGTGTGAGATGTCATTATGTGGTGATGACCTGCATCTGTTTCATGTTCATCAAACTGAATCAAGGAGTAAAACCTTGAAGGTATCAATGGAGCAGGTGGCAGCAAGGGTGACTGTAAGGGGAAGATTAAAGAGCCACGATTGTGATCTTAATCATTCTATTGAATCTGCCATCTTAACATTTTTACATGCCCCCTTCACCAGCCCACAGATGCCCCTGAATGGCAGGAACCTTTTGTAAACTAAAACTCAGTTCAGAAAAAGTGGGGGTGAAATTCAGCATCCTGTGTCTATTGATATTATAAGTTTTTTTCTTTTGTCTCTTTGTCTGCAGTTCTTTATTTCAGTCAACTCTGCTCCTGGATGTATTTAAATCCTCCAGAGAACACTTTAAGGCCCTGGAAGAGTAATGAGTCAGTATTTTGAAAATACTACCACAATAATTAGGAAAGTCTGCTGTTGCAAAATGCAGAATTTTCTTCATTAAACAAGCCTTTCTTTGCTTTTTTACTTCCACTAATCAACTCTATTGAATTATGTCCTAATTATCTGGTCAGTTAGAATTTAATTATTTTAATTAGATTAATCATAAACTGCAATGCTGAAGTTTAGGAAAGATGTTTTCAGCTAATTACCAAATTATTTGATGGCTTCTGCAAGGTCTACATAAGAAGTGCAACACAAACATTAACATTCTTGAGAAGTAAACCTGGAGTTTGTTGCTGAGGTCATTATGTCCTCTTCTACTGGGGGAATCTAAGAAATTAATTTCAGTTCAACCCAGAGCATTAGCCAAATTTGGTCTTCAAAATATCTCTGGACATACAAGATAATTTCCCTTTTCATATTACTCTCATTTGCCATATCTATTAGATTGTACATTCTGTTGCCATTGTATGATTTCCAAGAGGTATTATGGATACTAGTTCAAAAATAAACATGAACTTTTTCATTAGTGCAAGTATTGTGTAACAGTCGTAATATCCTAATCTACAGCAGTGGGATGTAAGGAGAGCAAAAATATAATTTATTTTTCATATTTTAATTATACATCATGGAATAAGATATTGCAAAAATGAAGAAGATTAAGAAAAAGTGAAGGTCGTGCCACAAAGCGAAGCTCTATAAAAAGGTAGTCTGAGATTTGTGAAGATGATTTTTTTTTTAAATGAATAATGGTTTATTACAAGAACCTGCAGAAAATTGTGTTAGTCCTGTTTATTTATATACACAGTTCTGTATAACAGTAGAATAGAGTAACAGAGTTGGAAGGAATCTTGGAGATATTCTAGTCCAGAGGTCTTCAAACTTGGCAGCTTTAAGACTTATGGACTTCAACTTCCAGAGCTGGCTGGAGAATTCTGGGAGTTGAAGTCCACAAGTGTTAAAGCTGCCAAGTTTGGAGACCTCTGTTCTAGTCAAACCTTCTGCGCAAGTAGAAGACCCCGTACCATTTCATACAATTTCTTCTTTAAAACCTCCAGTGATGGAGCACGGACAACTTCTGAAGGCAAGCAGTTTCACTGATTAATTGTTCTAATTGTCAGGAAATTTCTCCTTATTCCTAGATTGGTTGTCTGCTTGAAAGGGTGTGTGATGGCTCAACGGTTAAACAAGCTGTAAAGGTGGCAGCCTTGGCTGAAGTCCCAAGCATGACAGGATGAGATTTATTTATTTATTTTATTTATTTTATTAAATTTCTATAACACCCTTCTCCCAAAGGACTCAGGGCGGTGAACAATCACAAGATAAAACACATAAATACAAAAATTTAAAATAAATTAAAAATAAATTAAATAATTTGGCTGAATTTAAAATACCCCATAATTTAAAACAAATTAAAATTTACATTTAAAAAGGGGAGAAGATTTAGGCCAGGCTAGAT